ATGATCCAGCATTTTGTGCGGCCCCGACCACCGAGATATGACGCATACATTTTTTGGGGGGAACATGTATTGCCATCTGCATCAACAACACGATCATCCATCTCACCACCATCTTGGCTCAAACTATACCAGTGCAATTGCACGCGCACTCTCTCAGGTCTGTCAACCAGCCACGGCAGCCACATATGCCTCCTAAGAAGCGAGCTGATGCCACTGACCAACCACATGGCCAACGCACGCGCTCGCGGGCGACTGTGGCAACAGCGCCGGGGCCTGAGTCTGAGAAGAAGCCTGCGCCTACGCCCAAGACAGCACCTACGCCCAAGAAAGCACCAGCAGCGAAAGCGAAACCATCGTTGGGGAAAGTGGCACAGAAAACCATTCAGTCAATGTTCGCCAGCTCCGACAATGCGTTGCCTGAGCTGCCCAGCGCTGCGCCGCCTCCGGGCATGCAGCCCGCGGCGGAGGATATCACCACCGCGCCGCCAGCAGAGCAACCGCCGCAGCCGCTTGGAGATGCAGCTGCAGCAGAGAAACATGATGCCGCCGCAGATGGACCGCAGCCGCTGCAGCTGGAAACCCAGGCGCCCGCGGCGGAGTGCGGCGATGCCACATCTGCCTCCCTTGCAGCGCCAGCAGCTGCGGGCTTGCCGCAGCCAGAGGATGCAGATGCAGAGCAGCCCGAACAGCCATTGGCGGCTGGCTGCGGTGCTGCCAGCGTGGCGCCAGAGGGGCAACCGATTCCGCAGCCGCTGCCACCGCAGGAGGCTGAGACAGAGGAGGCCGCGGCTGATGGCCAGCTCGACGGCTCCCAGGCGCCCGCGGCAGAGGTCGCCGCGGCCGCGGCGCCAGCAGCTCCAGGTCCGCAGCCCTCGGTAGACGGCTCGGGGGCCGCGGCCATCGCCGAGCACGCTGAGCACCGCGAGGTGGGCGTGAGGCAAGAGCTGACAGAGCAGCCAACTACTGCAGGCGTGACAGGCGTAGGCGGCGCCGCTGTGGCCGCGCTCGCGCCCGAACCCGAGCCCGAGGGGCCCGAGGGAAGCGCCGGGGCCGCTGGCGCGCTGCTGGCTGCTTCCTCTTCCGCGCCGCTGGCTGCGGCGGCCGCGCTGCCAGAAGAACTGCTGCCTGACGGGGCCCTTGCGCCACCGCCGCCGCCGCAGCTGCAGCATGGTCAGCATGGCGATGCGGAGTCGACGCTGGCAGATCTGCCCCGTCGGCGTCGCAGGCGCCGCGCAGCCCCCGTCTCGACCCGTGTCCAGACAGGCGAGACTGCTCCCCCCGCGCCTTCCTTGGCGGACGAGTGGCAGCTCACCGGCGCAATGCTCCCCATCTGCACCAGCATCGCGCAAGCCTACGCCGAGTACCACCGCGGCGACCCCAAGGTATGCCGTGATCTTCGCGACTCGTTTGAATGGGCCACTGACTTCATCAATGAGCTCGAGCGCACCGAGGGCCCCGAGGGCATGGACATGTTAGATCACCTTGAGGAGCAGCTGTCGTGGGACACGCGCTCGACTGCCTACTCGGGGATCGGGGCACCAGAGGTCGCTATCAACTGTATATGCCAGGCCCTTGGGCGCAAGAAGAAGAAGATCATTCACCCACCTCGGTTTTTGTATGTCATAGAGTGGGACGAGGATGCGCAGAAGGAGTTACATATCCTCCTAGCGCCGACTGGAGGCTGTCTGTTCGGAGACATCACGCAATTCTTCATCCCAGAACTGCAGGACCAGGTCAACGCTCTATTGGAGGATCCTCAACATGCTTACAAGGCCTGCTCGAATCGAGATCGCTGATATCCGATCGACTCATCGACTAGGCTGACGACCGATTGATTTGTCGATCAGATCACAGGCTGACGTTGACTCTGTGTCGGCCTGTGATCTGGTCGACCAGCCGGTCGTCGGTCAGAGTCGATCTGCCGATCGGTCAGATTTCTTTTGATTTGAGATTCTGAAGGTCTCGAGGCCCGCGATCCGCAATGGTGGCGCGGTGACCAGCAAGGGGTGGTGCCTCGTCCACAAGAAGTACTGCTATTTGAAACCTGCGAGACACCACGCGGCTGGGACGAGCTGCACGGCGTTCAGCAAACAGGGACCGCAGACAGGCATCCACCATTGGACGATTGTTCCACTTCTCGCGTGGATCGGCCTCAGATTGCTACTGCAGGAGGCGGAAGTGGAGCAGGAGAACGTAGTAGGGTTCGACCTAGCTATACTATCAGAATTCCTGGGGGATACCTACTGGATAGACAGCGTCTTGCTAGACCCTCGCACGTTCGGGTGGCCATCGATCCGGACGAGGAAATGGACCAAGTTGACGCACAAGTACAAGGCGCTTCCGCAGATATCGCCGCTGTCGCGTTTTTGTAAAAGGTTCTACAGGCTTGCTACGTATTCATGGAGGGAATACTTTTTCCAACATATGTTCAATGGGATAGAGGATTCAGCCGACCTGCACCGTGGAGCAATCGACAACGAGCTGGATACTGACTTGGCTTGGGCGCAGGCTCGCCCTTCCTCGTGCATGAAAGGCGAAGCTGCAGTGAACGCACGCACGCCAGATGCGTGGTTCAAAACCCTTTCCATCTGGGAGAAGTCGAACTTGCTCGATTACATGAAGAACTACCCGAACGCCGCCTGGCAGATCAACCAGGACGCCAACTCGCACACTACTGCGAGCACTTCCACGGACCTCCACACCCTCATTCGGAACCACATTATCTTCGCTGACAGCATCGGATCGTATCAGGCGCCTGGGCCCCTGGGCGTTTCCCTCTTTCCCCCATTCTTCCTTCCCGTCCAGCCGTCCAGGGGGCCTCAGGACCTTAGGAGCCAGGAGGCCCGCGGGTCACCTTCCGAGGCCAACCTTAACCTCACAACTTCCTTGAACAGATCGGCCGAGTGGCCGAGTGGTTGGAACTGATTTTCACCTTAAGGCGAAAATTTGTGCCAGCAATTCATCTTCCTCCTACTCACTACTCTTCCCCCTACCTCCAAGACGCTGGACTGGAACAGATGTTCGCCTTAAGGCGACAATATGTTCCATATGTTCCGGCCACCTCGGGTCTCCTCCTCCTCTTCCTCTTCCTCCTCCTCCTCCTCCTCCTGGTCACCTGGCCCCTTGCAGAATCACTGGGAAAGAATCTCTGTTTCTCTGATTCTCTGTTTAGTTTGTTTGCATCCTCCTGGCCCCCCAGCGGCCTGGCGTGCGAAGGCAGCTGGAGGCGAGACCGCCGAGTCGCCCCGGCGGTGGCTCAGCCCGACCGAGGCGCTGGTGTCGCAGGGCTTCCCGATCCACCCAGTATACCCACAACGATCTCAGAGTGACGTGCTGTGCTCTTTCAACGTGCGTGCAGAGCGTAAGCATCGGGTTGTGGCTGGCCAGGCGGGCAACACGATGAACGTATCGGTCGCTGGCGTGTTTGCCCTCGCTGGCTATTGCAACTTAGCTTTTAGGGAGAACGCGATGTTGACTGCGATTGCCATGAGCATGCACGTTCCTAAGCCGATCAAGGATACCAGGGACAGGGGCCAGGGCACTCGCAAGCGCCATCATGGGAAGTCATCTCCAGGGCCCGCGGGGCCCGGCGGCGACGGCGGCGTTGCGATCGCCCGCCGGTAGGTCGTGAGATCGTGAGATGCGCCAGCGGACCCCACACAGCACGTCTAAGTCTAAGTATAGAAGACCTTGCGGCCTTGCCCTTGCTCCCTTGCTCCTGTTAAACAACGCTAGCGCTGCAATGTTTGGGGTCCCGGGCGAGCGTGTAGTTGTGCAGCGTGCAGTGCAGTGGCAGTGGCAGTGTGTAGGCACTGCGGCGCCTGTCTTCAGCCTGTCTTCCCGACTGCTGGTCGCCGCCGCTGGTCGCCGCGGTGGGGCGGCCGCCCCGACCGACTCGAATTCATTGGGGATTGGATTCGTCAAGTACGCTGGCGACTCGCCACAGAGAAGGAGCAGGACTCCGGACCTAATACAAAGAAGTGAGTGATATGGTCGGATAGGGGCGGGGGGATCTGAGGAGCCCAGCCCGGGCCCAAGCAAACAAACAAACAAACAACAAACAAAACAACCAAACAACAAACAAGAAGCTAAGCAAGACAAAGAGAACGTGACAACACATGACAAGCAAACAAACAATCACATAAGCATAAGCATATGCAAACAAGTAAGCAAGTAAACGAACAAGCCAACAACTTTGGGCCAACAAACAACCAAACAACCAACCAACCAACAAACAAACAAACAAACAAACAAACATGCACGCACACATACACACACACACGCGCACACACAAACTCTTGCAGCCGCAGCCCATATCCCATATCCCCATCCTGGGGCCTGGGGCTGCCTGTCGGGGCCAGTGCAGTCGGCCTGGCCCTTGACCCTTGATTCTTGATTAGTAGATCGGTCGACCCTGCCGCTGCCAAATCGGAGGGCCAGGATGGGGCCGCACTCGCCGGGGGAACTGTTGTCGTCCGCGCCATGCTGGACGCTTCCCTCTCCTCTCGCTCTCTCGCTCGATAAGTCAGTCCACCCCGTGGCGATGCTGCAAGCTGCGCTGCAATGGGGCTCCTGAGACTCCTGAGCCCTCACATATCCTGAGTTCCTAAGCTCAGTCTGGTATCGTTTATCCGACCCCCATCCCCCCGTCCCCCCATCCCCAATCACCATCGCCCATCACATCACCTTCGAGACCCCCGCACCCCCACTGCCACCAACCAAGACCCCCAAGTCGGGGACACGTCGGACACACCCCTCGAAACCCAAGGGAACGGCCTAATACCACCATCTACAGGCCACGGCGCCGCTGGGGATGATGGGGATCGGTTAAACGATGCTCAAGCTGCTTGCTCATAAGTGCACCACTCCCCCATACTCCTCCTCCGACTCCTCCGTGGCAGCCAGTTTTGGCTCGATCAGCTCGGCAACCTGCCGCAGGTCGCAAGCTGCGCTCGTCCGCTCGTCAGCTCCCGCGCCACATCCGACCCTGGGCTCTTCGGATGCCGACGTCGGCGCCGGCGGGGAATGTTGTGGAGGCGCAGAAGGCAGATAGGCAGGCTCTCAAGAATCAGATGAAGACCCTCCTCGGCAGCGTCGACGGGTCGATCATGCTCGATCGCTTCTGGGAGAAGTTCGACGCAGGGCCGTTGCATTTACAGTGGTTTCTGGACGAGGCATGCACGAAGCCGTCTATTGTCCCTTCGCCGCACAACAGGCCGATTTCCGAGACAGTGGTGGAGGAGTACAAGTGCAGGATTTTGAACTCTGGCCTGTCGACCGGCACCAGGGGTGAGCCTTGGTTCCATTACTCTTCGAAGGACATCTGGTCGCAAACAAAACCATCACCCACCACTCATCAAGTTATCCTCGTCTGGACGCGCAGGGCGGAGGGCGGCGGTGGTGCCGCCTTGCGCGTCAAGACGGGGGTATCTTTGAGGAGAGGGATGTGGGTGGTTTGGTTTGGAGATGCGGCCGCAGGAGCGCTGTCTGCCAGCTTTCGCTTGCACGTATAACCATCTCAGCCAGGCTTTCTACCGAGCACATGAAGAGCAACCAAATAATATTTGTGTTCAGGCTGCGTTGAAGAACGGCTTGAAGTGCCGCATGATCAACGAGGAGGCTCCAGATTTTTCTCTTTCATGGATATGTGACTTTCACAATCATTATCATGGAGGGTCCAAACCGACGTTTTGGCAGGCCATTCACAAGGCCCTCGCGTGGGAATCCCGCTGGCATGCGTATTGTCACAAATGGGGAATCGTTGCAACTGGTAACCCTTCATATGAGCTGCAGCACGAAGAGTTCGTCACGGAAATCATTGATGGAGAGAAGGACAGCCCGATCAAAATGGCATCTTGGAGACACTTTGTGAACACGAAGTCCGTTGCACACAAATGGGAGAACTTTGGAGTGTTCGAAGTCTTCGAGAAGTGGTGCATCAAGCACGTCAACTTCTTGAATGATGACCTGCACTCTTTCCAAGCAATCAACGTGCTGCACGCGTGGGCGCTCAAGGTCGTCGGCGTGCTTGGGAAGTTCTACTCGAAGGAGATCGCGGGTGCCATGCTGTTGGAGGGCCTGAAACTGTGCGTCCCAATGCCCGAGCGCAAGGATGGCCAGAAGCTGAGAGACATGCAGCGCAAGCTGCCGTGGTTGTTCAAGCAGCTGGGCCAGCACACGCTCAACATGTTCGACTTGCTGAACACGCCCATTGCAGGGGCCACTGCCGGCAGGAAAGTGGCCTCGGCGCGGTCTCAGGCGGTCGCGAGAGCCATCGCTGAACACGCACAGAAGATGGAGGAAGCCAACGCCAGAGCAACCCATGATGCCCAGGCTGCTGCAGGGCCCGAGGAGGAGCCGCCGCTGAAGATGCAGCGCCGCGGGAAGGGTCGCGGTCGCGGTCGCGGCCGCGGCAACCTTGGGAAGTCCGCGCCCCCGTCCCCTCAGGACAACGGTGAGCCTGCCCTTCCTGCTGGCGTGGTGTGCGCGGCCGAGGAGCTCGTGGCGATCGTCACTCCGCTCACTGGGAACGCTGCAGTTGGCCGCCCGGCCACGGTCCTCGACGACGTGATTCATGCCGTCGAGCACTCACTCGGGAAGGATCATGATGAGAAGGTCGCTTGGAGGACGCGCTGCGAGGCCTACTCGATCTTCCTGCAGTTCTGTTTCGCCGAGGAGGTCGACTGTCCTCCCCTCCCCTCCGCGCCCTCCACCTCCCCTCAGATGTTCAGATGTTTAGAGGGCCCAATGCCCAGGACGCTCAGGCTGAGAGGCCCCTTCGAGTCTTGGAGCCTCTCGGGGTGGGGCCGGGTGGGGCCCTCGGGCCCTCTTGGAGACTCTTGGTAGTGGTGCCACCTTGGGCCCCTTGGGCGCTTTTGAGCAACCGATCGTGAGGCCCGTGGGTGCATAGTGGAGCTCTCTAGGGCTTGTGGCCGTCGTGTCTATATCAAGGACGTCGGAGGGGCCCAAAAGAGGGGCCCAGTCCCAGAGGCCAGGTGGGGCCCCAAGATAGCACCCCTGCCCCTGCTGTCGGCTGTCAAGGGCCCCCCCTTGGGCCCCTGAGGGGCCCTCGGAGCCCTCTTGAGGCTGGGGTCCAAGAGGGCCTCGAGACTGCCTCTCATCCTCGCTCGCTCCCACGCGCTCTCCATAAGGTCTCGATGAACGGCAAGGCGTTCAATGTCTACTCCAAGCTCCGCGAAGATCTGCAATCGATGGTGTCGCTTGCTACCAGGCGCGCTACCGGAACTTTCGGCACGACTGACTGTGACAACAAGTCATCTGAAGACGACCCCGGCGCCGTGGCACAGCGCATACTCGACATCTGTCTCAAGCCAGTCGAGATCACGATTGGAGACGACATTGAGCACGAAGACGACGTGTCCAGCGCCGACGCGGAGAGGATGTTCGAGGCCCAGGAGATCGAGATCCGCACATTTTTGAACGAGAACGCCAACACGCATCCCACGTTGCAGAAGAATTGCAGTGACATGGCGCGCGAGCTCTCCATGCTTGGGTACGAGATGGACATCCAGTACGCTTGCGTGGCCATCGGCAACGTGATGGATAAGTACCTTCCCTGTAAGATGATCGAGTCGGTTGCTGCAATTTCGGTCATAGCTAGTCGGCTTGGCCGCGTCCCTGCGTTTGCTGAGGCTGTTTTCCCGAACGTTGAGTCGCTCGAGAGCTTCATCAGTACTCGCGTGATGTATACCTTGCACGGAGTCAAGACTCTGGCAGAGTTCGGGAAGTTGAAAGCGGACGACCAGGCCAACCCAATGCTCAAACTCTTGCAGCAGCACTTCATTATCAAGAAGGACGCCTTGTCGATGTTGCCGATGCGCCTGCTCTGTGGAATTGAGGCGTCTGCATCTTCCACAAATTGGCCCAGTGACTGGGTCGGGATTTGGCAGCGCGTGTTCAAGCTGGAGGCGGAGGAGGCCCTCACTGAGTATTGTCAGGATTTTGTCAACGGCAAGAGCGCTGCGAAGAGGCCTGAGAGCTCGGGCGCAGGCGCCGTTGACGCGGCGGAGGCGGAGGCGGAGGCGAAGGGCGATGGCGCGACGCCCGCGGCTGGCGATTGCGACACGCTCGCCCCGAACCCGGACCAGCAGCAGCCGCCCGCAGCAGAGCAGGCCGAGCAGACGCAGACGCAGACGGTCGCCACGAAGAAAGTCTACTTTAAGATGTCAGACGTCCACAACTTCAGCAAGATGGGCGCGTCGCCGAATGATTCCGAGGACGCCAAGCAGCTCACGATCGCCAACGTCGACGGCCTCCTGATCAAGAGTATCGAGACATCGCTCAATCACTACTTGTGGGTCAGGTACCGCACGCATGGTTGCGTGCACGGGAAGTCGGCGTTCGTCACGTCGGGGCCGAAGGTCGAGGAGATCTTCGCGCCGATCGAGTCGGAGGGGCCTTGCGCAGGTTTCCAGTCCTTGATCTTCGACGTGGATGCCGAGAAGAAGGCTAACACGTTATATTTTGTCGTTCCTCGCTCCGACGGGCTCGGCGACGGCGTGAAGCAGTGCTCCATCATGTACGCTGGCGCTGTCAGCGCGACGATGAAAGGCGCGAGCTCGTTCTTGCTGGCGACTGTCTTCGGGGTCAATTTCTACTTGAACCACCCGGGCGGCAGTATGGTCGCCGCGGACTTCCCCGCTTTCGCGTGGCACGTGAAGGCGGAGGCGAAGGCGGACAAGGCCACGCTCTACAACGTCAGCGACGAGGTCGAGGTGCACATGGACGTGGACGGCTACCTCTTCGACGATCGCGAAGAGGCGGGCGGCAAGGAGTGATGGGAATGTTTTTTCATTGCCACTACCATGAGGCAGGAGGGGAGGAGGAAGAGGAGGAGAAGGAGAGGAGGAGGAGGAGGCGGTGGAGGAGGAGGAGGAGGACTCCCCCTCCCCAGAGGCAGGCGGCGAGTGGCGGGTGATGTGATGGGCTTGTTTCCAGGAGGTGGAGGAGGAGGAGGAGGGGGAGGAGAAGTGAGGAGGACGAAAAGATGAGGGCGGGAGGAGGAGAGGAAGCGGAGCCCTCCCTCACGTCTACTCCTCCTACTTGTTGGTAGTGGTAGTGGGAGACATACCCCAATCAAGCCATCAAGGAGGACACTATCGCGACCGCCCTCCACATCCCGAGCCTCATCGTGAAGGGCGCCAAGGTCATGGAGGCCGATCCGGGTGCTCACGTCCTCCTGTCCCGCGAGATGACGGAGGCCGAGCGCTCGGCGAAGGCCCGCGTGAAGTTGCTCAAGGCCCAAGGAGGCGCTGTTTCACCGACCCCTCTGCTTGGCGTCGCCGCTGCGCTGGCGGACCACGCCGAGAAGCAGGCGAAGGGGGGCAGTGCGGCGGCGAAGCCTAAGGCGAAGTGCAAGTCGAAGGCCAAGAAGGATCTGCCGTCCAACAAGCACCTTATTACATAGGCTTGCTTGGCCCTAGGGACGGCGGCTCCGTGGTCCGTCGTCTTTCTTTTCTCCTCCTACTCTTCCTTCCCCCACTCCTACTCCTCCTCATTCCCTCCTCCTTCATCCTCCTCCTCCTCTTCCTCCTCCTCCTCCTCTCCTCCTTCTCTCCTCCTCCTTTCCTCCTCCTCTCCTTCTCCTCGCCTCTGCCTCTCCTCACTCCTCCCGTCTCTTGCTATCCCTTCCTCAGATTACTCTTTCACATCCTCATCCTCCCATCTCCTGCCCATCTCTCCCCAATCACAGATGCGCAAATTCAGTTTTCCCCCCTCTGCCTGTCTGTGCCCAGGGCGCGACGGCTCGACCCGACCGAACAGCATACAAACGTTGAAATGTGTAGGGTCCCGAACGGCAAACACGAATCCAGGAGTCCAGGACGGGCCCGGGCCGAGGTCAGGTCGAGTCGCTACCCTCTTGCAGTGCGCTCCCGCCGTCGCGGGCCTTGGCGGCGGCGCTGGCCGAGCTCGCCGTGCTTTCTGGCCGCCGTCCCCAGGGGTGGGGATGGTCGAGCGCGCGGCTGAGCCGGCTGTGCGCGAGCGTTGCAAGCAGCGCAGCTCAGGTAGAATAGCAAAAAAAACAATCGTCAGATCGTCAGTCAGAAACCGAAGCCGAGAAACCGATATTGCCGATGCTGATGCTGCTACTCCGTGCGTGTCCCGGGATGGAACGCACGCGTCCTCGGCCAGGATTCCGATGCTGCTATCCCAGCTGTGGCGACGTTGGCGACTGGGCCGACGAGGTTTCGAGTGTGTCAAAATACGAAACATAAATTATGATATCAGCATCGGCGTTGTCAAAACGGTTGCGGCCTCTCTACCGCGCCTGTCCTTCTTAGTATGATGATTATCTCTCAATCTCTCTGTGTGACTAAAAAACAAGACGCATCGGCGACGCATCGAGAGAACAATTCTGAATATGTTCCCTGAGCTATCTAATCTCTCGTGGTATCGTCCTCCGAATTCCTTGCTTTATTCTTCTCCTATCCCTTCTATTGTTTCTCTTTTCACCTCGTCCTCTCTTATTATCCTCCTTCCTTGTCCCCCCTCCCAAGTCCTTCCAGGCCGTCGGCGGCGCCTCCAACCCCTGACCTCCCGACGCAAATGTCGGCGGCCCACCCCAGAGCCGGAACTTACAAAGTGGGAATGAGGTGGAAACAGTGGGACAATGGAGGGTACAATGGTGGTGGGGACAGTGGTGAAGGCGGTGGCGTGGACGGCGGTGGGACAATTGGACAGAGGTACAGTGGGGACAGTGGTGGGGACAGTGGGGACAGTGGTGGGAACAGTGGGACAGCTCAGTGGGACAGCGGAGGAGTCAGTGGGACAGCGGGGACAGTGGGGATAGTCGGGCAGTGGTTGGGGCCGTGGAGACAGTGGGGAGAGTGGAACCGTGGTGGGAACAGTTCTGGGGTGGTTGGGGCCGTGGAGACAGTGGGGAGAGTGGAACCGTGGTGGGAACAGTTCTGGGGACAGCGGGGACAGTGCGACAGTGGTGGGGGCACTGGTGGGGACAGTAGGGGCGGTGGTGGAACCAGTGGGGACAGTGGTGGTGAGGACAGTGGTGCTGGGAACACCAGTGGGGGATGTGATGCGGACGGTGGTGGGGACCGGGAGTCGTTTGCTGGCGGTGAGTAGGGGGGGGGGGGAAAGGGGAAGGGGGGGTGCGAACCGGTAGTGGCCCCCTCCAGTTTTCCGGATCCGGAGGGTAGGGGGGGGGGGGGGAGGGGTTCGAACCGGTAGTGACCCCCCCCAGTTTTCCGGATCCGGAGGGGGGGGGGGGAGGGGTTCGAACCGGTAGTGACCCCCACCGGCTTTCGAGCGGGAGGGGGGTGGGGGAGGGGTTAGGGGAGGGGGGGGTTTTGCCGGGGGAGAGGGGGGGGGGGGGGGGGGGGCAGGGGGGGGGGTTTTGGGGGGGGGGGGGCGACCCCCGGGCTCCGGAGGAAAAGGTTGGCAATTTTCCACAGTAAAGCGGCGGTGGATCACGCTCTCTCGAATATGTGAATTTATGTTTTTTTTCCATATGGATGCTTGTGTTTACCAGAGCCATTGCCAACGGCTGCTGCCATCTCCTGTGTCTCTTTATGTTGCGCAGTCTGCCGCTGATAACCAGGATCGTGCTGCCATGGCCCTTGTGCTTGCCATGCTGGCGGTCGGTGGGGCTCCGAAGGTACCCTTACTGAGGAGGCGCCGCTGAAATCGGAAACTGTTGCGGGAATTGTTGCGGCCCTGCGCCATGCGGGACGTTGGACTGCGGCGCCGCGACAGTCGGTGGGAACCCCAAGGCCTGTCCCAGCAGCATTACACGGGCCAGTTTCACGGATTGAGGGCGAGTGGTTCTCAACATGTGGTTCTCACTTTAGCGCCGCGCACATTCGTTTTCAGAATTTGCAAGGGTTTCACGGGATCCTATGATCAGCGTTCCAAAAATTCTGTATGGGAAAGACTCAGGATTATGCGGGCGCAACAGTTATGTTGATTCGCGGTGTTGAAGTCCCAAAAGTGGCGCTCTGGCACGATTCCAGATCGTCAAGACGCACCAGTCAGGTTGATATGTGGCGTTGAAATCTAGAGAAAAATGTTTTGGCACGCTTCAGGATCTTCAAACGGTTGTCTTCCAGCGAGGCAGTTCCCTCAATGGAAATGAACCGCTGTGGGGGCATATGAAGAGGGAGCTTGGAGGGAGGATTAATTCCAACATCGTTGAAGACTCTTGGTTTTGCACTGGTCCTCCTCCTCTTCCTCCTCCTCCTCTTCCTCCTCCTCCCCGTGCTTCCCTTCCCCTCGTCCCCTCCCCTCTTCCTCATCCCCCTTCCTCTTTCTCCCCTCGTCCTGCCCCGCTCCTCCCCATCATACCCTCCCCTCGGGCTCACCAGGGCCCCCCCCGCGCCCGCCCCGGAGGCGCGCTCGCGGCGCGGCGCGCGCCCGGCGCGCGCGTTCGCGCGGGGGTCCCGCCATGCACGCCCCCGGGCGGGGCGAGCCGGCTGCGTGCCGCGCGCCGCCGGGCCCCGCGCCGCCGGCCAAGGCGCCGTGGGCGTCGTTCGCCGCGGTCGCCGTGGCCGTCCTCGTCGGCGCCGCCGCCGCCGTCGGTGCCGCCGCCATCGGTCGCCGCCATCGGCGCCGTCGGCGCCGTAGCCGTCGTCGGCGTCGCCGCCGCCGTCGTCGCCGTCGTCGCCATCGTCTCGTCGTCCTCGGCATCGCCGCCGTCGACGACGACGTCGGTGTCGTCGACAGTCTTCGACATTCTTCGACGGTCGTGCCCGCCGTCTGCACAGTCGCCAGCCTCGCCGCTGCCTTCGTCGTTGTTGGTCGAACGTCTCGCGTCGACCGTTGTCGTCGTCGTCGACGTCGACGTCGTCGTCGTCGTCGAGTCTGTCAACTGTCGTCAGTGGTCATTTTCGTCTTTGTCGGTGGAGGATGAGGCGGAAGAGATGGAGGAGGCTGCTTGGCAGCGTCGGACAGGCGGACGAGAGCCCCGTCGTCGTCGTCGGCGTCGTCGTCGTCGGCATCGTCGTCGTCGTCGTCGTCGACCGTCGCGGCCGTCGTTGCCGACGTCGTCGCCGTTGCTGTCTTCGTCGTCGCCGTCGTGGTCGTAATGTTTGAGGAGGCGGCCTGACTCTGAATTGGAGAAGTGGGAGAGGGGATGGAGGACGGCGACAGTATCCGTGGAGGATGGGAGAGTGGGAAGGAGGAGGAAAAGGATGATAATAGTATAGAGGAGAGGGGAGGGAACGTAGAGAAGTGATAGGGGTAAAAAGGTAGAGGAGGAGGAGGAGGAGGAGGAGCAGGAGGAGGAGGAGAAGGAGGAGAGGAGGAGGAGGAGGAGGGGAGGAGGAGGAGGAGGAGAAGGGGGAGGGGGAGGAGGAGGAGGAGGAGGAGGAGGAGAGAAGGAGGGAGGAGGAAGATGATGAAGAAAGAGAACCAGCAGCATGAGCAGGAGCAGGAGCAGGAGGGAGCAAGAAGAGGAGGTAGGAGGAGAGGAGGAGGAGGAGAGGAGGAGGAGGAGGGAGGGAGAGGAGGAGGAGGAGGCGGAGGAGGAGCAGGAGGAGGAGGAGGAGGAGTGAGGAGGAGGAATCGGAGGAGGAGGAGAAAGAGAAAGGGAGAGGAGGGAGGAGGAGGAGGAGGAGGAGGAGGAGGAGGAGGAGGAGGAGGAGGAGGAGGGGGAGGAGGAGCAGGAGGAGGAGGAGGAGTGAGGAGGAGGAATCGGAGGAGGAGGAGAAAGAGAAAGAGGAGGAGGAGGAGGAGGAGGAGGAGGAGGAGGAGGAGGAGGAGGATGGACAGAAGACAAGCTAGGGGCGCTCGGGCCACATCTGACATCCTACCCCTCCCACTCATACCTTCCCATTTCCCATTGCGTGTGTGATTTCTATTTTCGCGGACGGTTGTCATAGCAGACCTGGAACCGCCGGCAGGACTACCGTGTGTCTCGCGGAATCACAATAGGGGAGTTGCGTACATTGGAGGAGGAGGTGGCGGATAAGCAGGATGGAAGAAAGGACGAGGAACGAGCAGGACGAGGAGGAACAGCAGCAGCAAGAGCAAGAGTGGGAGAAGCGGGACTGGCAAGATGACCAGGGGAAAGCGGGGAAGGGGAAAGCGAGACGACCATGATGAGGACGCATTCGGATTCAGAAAAGTGGCCCGCTCCGGTATACGAGCGCAAGTTTGAACGACGGGAGCGAAGCACCGCTCCCGAATTGAGGCCAACGCTGTATCGGAAACACCATGTTGAGACACGGGGTAAACAAAACCATGGAGCTAACACTAACGAGTGTCATCTGGTGCGTGAAAAAACATTGCACGGAAAGATATGGACAACCTCCGCACTGACTCAGGGGGCATAGCAGATTGGTACTCATTCTGAGTTAGTGTGTAGGAGGAGATGGGGGAGAGAGGGAAGAGAAAGTGGTGGACGAGAGGGAGGGGGAGAACGAGGAGGAGGAGGAGGAGGAGGTTGAGGAGGAGGAAGATGACAGGGAGGAAGAGGAGGTGGAGGAGTAGGAGGAGGATGGGGAGGATGAGGCCCTGCAGGAGTAGGATGACGAATGGCCGCCGTGCCCCCCCCGCCCTTGGTGTCGCTCCTCCGCCCGCTCTCCCACGCGTTGGGCCCGCGGGAGGCGACCGAGGCCGACCGCGTCGCCTGGATGCGCCAGTTCCTTGCGGCGCTGGACCGCGGCGGGAGGGGGGGGGGGGAAGATTGTGAGGAGGATCGGGCGTGTGGGAGGGCCTTCTCCCCCGCCGTAGCCGTTTTGGCTCAAAATCCTTAGTTCCGCAGGGGGACAAACGAGTACCGCTAGTCCGCGGCCAGACTTCACTGTCTCGCAATCGTGACAAGGCTGTGCGCTGGTCCGTGTCCAAGAGTCATTCCTGTCTGTTGCGTGAGCACCTGGAGGAGCAAAGTTTTCTTGCAGCCGTGGTGTAGAAGTAGCGCACGCCGTGGGCGAAGGACCGCCAGACAGACTAGCCACGCGGGCGCCGCAATGACTACGGATATGATGATCGTCGTCGGCTTCGTGATGTTCGCCGTGTTTCCTACGATGTGTATTCGGTGCGTGGCCACTGGGAGCACGGTCGTCGAGGCAACTGGTGCTGCAGCGTGTGCCAGGGAAAGTACCTCTGCAAGCCCGTCAATTACGACTGCGACTACGATTACGGTGGGGGCGATGTCAAGACCGACGTCTTCTCAGAGCGCCTCACAATGTTGGCTCAGCAGTTCCATGACATGGCGTCCGAGCTGCAGGCCATCCAGGCGAAGACCGCCAAGGCGCAACCCGCGGTGTTACCAGGTCCCGGGACCGACCTCGACAAGCTGGTCGCTGCCATGTTCACGGAGCTGTCGAAGGAGACCGAGGTGGCTCCCAAAGCGGAGATGGCCGCGATGGCGGCAGTCGAGCAGAACTTTGCCTCCGTCGCCAAGCACCGCGAGGCTCTCGCCAAGGCCGCGTGCGCCCATGCCGAGGCAACCAAGCACGTGGAGGAGATTGCCGCTGAATTGCGCACTGCGGTCGTTCAGAAGAACCTGTTCAACGCCGATCAGTTCCATGCGTCCGTGCGGCTGGATGTGGAGCGTGGCGCCAATGAGGCGCAGGCTGTTGCTGCTCCTGCTCGTCAAGTTCAAGCTGATGCGAGCTCGTGTTGCTCCTGCGGCCGGCGCCGCGGGTGCCGGTGCAAGCGGGGGGGGGGCCCGCAGGCGCCCGCGCCCTCTGCCGCGCATGGCGCGGGCGGAGGCGCCGGCGGAGGCGCGGGCAGCGCCACGGGCAGCGCCGCCGGCGCAGGCGCTGCGGCGGCGAGCGCCGCAGGCGACGCTGGCGCCCTCGGCGCAGCAGCAGGGCCCCTCCTTCTGGGCCTCACCCCTCAACGATGGGTCGGCTCCGTGGAACGCGTCGCGCCTGCGCACCGACCTCGCCCGCCTCGAGGGGAGGAGCGCTGTCGCGATGGATCAGTGGAAGCGCATCCCAGCCATGGCGAAGGAGACGCGGGGCAGGGGCGACATCCCCGCGGGCGACGTCAGTGACGCGGGCAGCAACTTCGCGATCCACGCGAGCGCGATGCCGAGAAGGGCCTCGGCCCGTCCGACAGCGAGAAGGACGGCGAACTCCAGCGCGCCGCCGATCCCCGCGCTAGCAAAGCAAGCGCGCCCACCACGCAGCTGCCCAGCAGCACCCCAGCTATTTCACGACGTCATGCTGGGCAGCGGCACACCGGCATAATCCCTTGCCCAGAGGTTTCAGCTGGGGGTTCGCAGACATGGCCCCCGCGGAGCGGCTCCAATTGCAGTTGTAAGTTGTTTTCTGTGATATCACTCCTTGGTCTGCGATGGCTGGGCGAATTATAGCCAAACGAGCGTTTAATGTCGATGCGTTTCTGATGGCCGAAGATCGCGCTCGGTTCTCCGAAGATCCACATGGAAAGAAGGCCTTCAGAGGTATGGGATGGCCCCTGAATGCTCCACCAGCGACTGTTTCCCGTGGCGGCGGCGCACATCGTGGAGTTGCTATCCTAGGCCAGAATGGCCCAGCCTTCCAGCGGCTCCTGACCCAGGTCCCCGGCGCGCGTTGGATGTCCATTGAATTAAAGTTGTTTTTTTTTTTGTTGGGGGGGGGGGGGGGGCGTCGGGGCGCGCTGCCTGGTCGCGCCCACAGGGATGTTTCGAGGCGGCTAGTTGCCGAGGTCAGAAAACTGGCGAGATCCGCCAGTTTGCCAATGCGCATGCGATTCCTTGATTTACTGATGGGGGGCTCATTGCTGATTCTGAACGAACTGAGCTTACCAGGCCCACCCCAATGGCGCCTGGCAGCGACGATATTATCTGCGCTAGTAGAGGGGCGCCGATCGACTCCCTCGTCTGCTCCAAAGCTCTGTCGCAGGCTGTGAAAATGGAGGCGCTGTCGCGTTCTTTTTTTCATGGCCCCCCTCTGCTTGCGTTCCTGTGCTCAGGCTGACGCATTGGACATGCCTGTAGAGAGGGGGGGGCGAAGTGCGCCCAGTTCCCGCCGGGCTACGGCCCTGATCATACCTGGCCGTGCCGCCTGAGCCTTGCCGTCTAGCATGAGCTCGACGCTTCCTTGCCTGAGGGTGCGTCCTCGGCTTTCTTAGGCGCGCTGCCGATGGGTCGCCCAGGAAGCTGTCCAGTGCTTGCGCGTCGCGGCCCCGACCCGCTAAGCGTGCGATGCTTTCTCGGGCTCGTTCGGCGACTGAGCCTTCCCGGGCTCGGGCCGCGGCCCGGGCCTTCGACGCTTCTCTCGTTCTCTTCGCCGCCAAGGGCGTCGCGGTAAGAGTTCGGCCTTTTGTCGTTTGCGCGCCCGCCCCTGCTTCGCGCCCGTTTGCACGAGCGACAGCGGTGATTGTGAATGGTAAGGTTGGCGCTCGATTGTGGAGTGCTCTCTCCAGGCTGGAGGCCGTTCCTCTCTTGCACCTCGGAGCCGTTGCAGTTTGCTGAGCGCGCAGGGCGGTGGCCCAGATATCGCGCATGCTCTTCCCTCGGTCTGGCTGTCACTGCCGGGCGGCCGGGGTCGACAGTCGCTGCCTGCCCGAGTGTTCGGAGCAAGGCGCGCGCTTCCAACGAGTCGGGCATTCGAGGGCGGTTTCGCGCCAGGTGTCCTGGATGGGGCCCATAAGTTGCACAGGCAGCTGTAATCTGATGATTGAGTCATGGTTTATTTTTTGTCCGTTTTCAGGGCATTATGCAGAGTCATGGCGAGATAGTGCAGTGCAGGGGGCGTGTCTGTGGAAAGTCTCGGGCCCTCATGGGCCCCCATCGGCAGATTCTCAGCGAGCCCACTCGGGGGCTCGTGGCGTCTGCCCAACTCGGCGCCCTGGTGGCCCCGGAGCTGGAATCCCTCGCCAGCCTGTCACTGTTCTGTTTTTCTGCAGTCGCGGTTCTTCGAGTTGATCAAGGCCCGCTCGCGAGTGGCCCTCTTTCCCAGGGCGCGTGCTGGAGGGGTTTTACCGGTCTTCGCCCGCGCGGAGGGCGCGCTCGCCTTCCCCGCCTAGCGCGCGCATAACCTACCGGCCATGCTTCCGCAGAGAGTGCCCAGCGAAAGAGTTGCGTCCAAATGTCGCTCCTTGTGCCTGGCACGCTGTCGCATAAGGGGCCGTTCGATCGACGTGCGGAACAGACGTCTCGCCGACTTCTGGGATTGTGTCCACCAGGGGCTCGCCAGATCGTCAGAGCAACTTCGTGAGGACTGTTTCGCTCGAGGTCTCGGTGCCCCGCGGGTTTGAGTCGATGGCCTCGCATTGGGATGTGGAGACTTTTCTCGTTGTCGTCGGCATCGGGTCGCTGGGCCAACATGCGCTTCGGCCGGACCATCCGCCCCAGTTGTTGTACCTGCGCGTTATAATTCACCCGCTCCCGCACTTGCTCGAGGTAGAGGGCGCGCTTTCAATGGTGATGCCCAATGGCAAACTCTGCCGTGGATGGGCGCGCCCAGTTTGCGCCGTGGGTGGAGGCTCTCTTGCGCGACGTTCTGCACCGCGCGCATTACCGCGCCCCTCATGCAGGCGCCAGTAAAGTCGCGTGTGGATGACGTCGCACGGTGCGCGCATGGAGCCACGAAGTATTTCCCAATGGTTACTCCTCAGGCGGCCCTCTCCTTCTTTCGGGACGTCCATTCCATCGGTTGCTGGGTCTTCGCGAAGAGTGCGATGACCGTGTTGCGCGTGATTTTGAAGCTGAGTTTCAGAGATTGGGGGCCCTGGCGAAGGCTTTTGAGGCGGTCGAGGATTCGGGCGCAGTGGTGAATGCTGGGAGGGGGGTGGAAATGCGCTTCGAGCCAAGGGCCTTCAGCGCGGGCACGTGGAGCCACGGCGCCATGGGCCCACCCCCGGCCGAAGTCCGCGCGCTCGGGGCTTCAGCGGTCAAGTGTTCAGGATGTTGGACGTCGGAGCACCGTGCACACGGGGTGCTTACAATCCGGCATGAGTTTGAAGGTGGCCTTTCGCATCTGTTACGTCGTGAGCAGTTGCAGTTGCCGTCGAGTGCGCGGAGCGGGGTGTCTGCGGGCATGAGCCGTGGGGTCGTGAAGGCTTGGAACAGCGTCATTGGCCAGCTCCCAGCATTGCTTGCGAATCGTAGATGGAGGGCGGTGAAAGGTCTCATCGCCGCTGACACCATTGACCTTCTCGATCTACCCCTGCCTTTGGGCCTGGTAGAGGGCGAGGTGAGATCTAATACCCGAAACCTGGATCCAATCGAAGCTTTGCGTTCCCTACCAAACGAAAGATCTTCACCCACAGCTCAGAGCAGGCGACCGTCTCGAAATCCTGGGACCATCCCTGGCGTCAGACATCCCCCACCTCCTATGTGATCCTGATTGTGTGATCGCCTAGGCGTGCCTGTGTGATCCTGCAGGGTCCGATGTGATCCTCAGGCGCTGTGTGATCCTACGTGGTCACCTCCATCTCCTCTAGGCCCCCCAAGCGCAGGCTCATCGACAGGGCGATTAACCCGCCGCAGCCGCTCTTCTGGGCGGCGTGCGGCGGTAGCCACAAGCTGAGCCGGTCACGCACCTGCCAGCAGACACCCCCTGCCGCCCATACCGCTCCGGCGAGCTGTGAACAGCGTGGATCCAGGCCAGATCTGGCCAGGGGCACGCGTGCGCATGCAACACTCCCCCAGGGGGTTGGACCCCCCAGTTGTGGCGTTCGGGGGCTGGCTGTTCCCACTCAGGACTCCTGACGAGGGCACGTGAGGAATCGCTTTTCGGTTTGACGCCTCCTCCCAATCTCCTCCTCCTCCTCCTCCTCCTCCTCCTCCTCCTCCTTCTCCCTCTCCTTCAACTCCTCCGCCTTTGCATTTTTTCCTGCACCTTACCCTTCCTCCCCCCTAACCTTCTCCTCCGCCTCCTCCTCCTCCTCCTACGCCTCCCCTTTCTCTTCCATCCTCCTCCTCTTCCCAGGGAGAGGCTCCGCAGAGGGTGAACGGCGCGAGAGGAGCAGTGGAAGACCTGCCTGGACGAACTGATGGAGCTGCAGGGCCTGCCGCCAGGCGCCCTTGCCGCCCGTCGCGGATTCCTCTGCGGCGGACTCGGGAGCAGACTCGGAGAATGTGGGCGGGCGCGGAAGCACAGTTCGGCAGTGAAGGGGGGATTGGGGGGGGAGGAGGGGAGGGGGGACAGTATTAACACAACGCTCAGCCAGCCATTAGCAGCGGGTGGGCAGCACGTGTTTTCAGTGCAGTTGTGACACTGCTGCACACATCCAGGAATGATGGAACTTGCATGTAAGACGTATGATGTTGCATGTTCACGCAGTGAGCGAATGCACTCGATGTAAGCACATACGCACCACACAATTACTGTGTATAGCTCGTGCCATAAACGTGAGATTGAAGTGAGGTCCATCGAAAGTGCACACTCAGCACATAGTAATACTTCTGCATGCGTAGTTCGGCCGTTTCCCGGCACACGCTAAAAGCAGCCCGTACGTACCGCATGACATGTTGAATGCCTATTCCATAATTTGAGTATCACGGTATACTAAATGAAGGTTACGTCGAGACGAGCACGTTTCACATATTGTTAATGCACGTTGGGTAGTTCACAACAAACGTATGCGAAGTGCATGATTTCTGAAAGACCTAGTGGTACGTACATCGCTGTGCCGTCGTTGACTCATGGCTAAAACTACACGACATGCGCACTGAAGTCTCACTTCTGCGTCGCATGCGCACCCACCTTATAACCCATGCGTGACCTAAACACCATCAATCCATCACCGAGGCACGCTTAGGACAAGGCTAGTGCAGAATCATGGCGTAGCGCAGACTGGGTAGGACATCGTTAGCGCATAGTTAACACAGAGCTTTGACAGCAGCATGTCAATGCAAAACCATCTGCATGGGCAGGCCAGTGGACTATGAGGTCGGCGGGTTTCCTTGTTAGCACGCGCGGCTTCAGAGACAAATCCGTGCTAGCGCTAAGACATGCTTTATAAAACGTAACAGCTTGAGAGGCATAATCTACGTAGACAAACCAGATTTACATGGCAACCGCACGGTTAGTTCATGGCTAAGACATGCTTTGCACATACGGGGTACATTACCAAGAATGTGCCGCGGCATGTTGATACCTCCTTGTGCTCAGCACCGTGACACGATATTCAAGACACGGTTACAATATGACGAAGGCGCCACATTTGCATATTTCAGACATTGGCTAGTTCACAAATCAAAGATAGGCCAGTGAGGATAGGGAGACATTTGATACATATTGATGGCAAAGACGGGCACACGTACGGAACTAGGAACACGAACAGGAAACATCCATTGCAAGGCAGTGCAAAGCAAGTACATGGTGAAAGTTTCCACGTGCCGATTTCGACCCAACCCATCCTCTGGTGTTGGGCTCTCGCTTTGAAGAGACAGTGCCCCGCGTCCTCTCCTCCTCTCATTTCCTCCTCCCTCCTCCCCCTCCCTCCTTCCCCTCCCTCCTCTCATTTCCTCCTCCCTCCCCTCCCTCCCCTCCCTCCTCTCATTTCCTCCTCCCCCTCCCCTCCCTCCTCCCCCTCCCCTCGCTGCTCTCCTTCCCTCCTCCCTCCTCCCCCTCCTGCCTCCTCCCATACCTGCCTCTGCCCTCCGCATGTCCTTTTCGGTGCACCTCTCACATTCTTCATGGCCCCATAGGGAGCTCCAGCTAAGGCCCCAGCGACTGGGTTCGCATACCTGGTCCACTCCATTTCGGCGCACCCCTCGGACGCTTCGTGCTCCCATAGGGAGCTCCACCTGAGGCCCCAGCGGCCGGGTTCGCATTCCTGGTCCACGCCATTCTCACACGATTCGTGGCCTAATCTGGAGCCCCACCTGAGGCCCCATCGCATGCTTATATCTGGTCCATGCCATTCTGGCGCACCCATCACACGTTTCGTTGCCCCATAAGGAGCTCCACTTGAGGCCCCAGTGGCTGTGTTCGCATGTCTGGTGCACGCCATTCCGGCGCACCGCTCACACCTTCCATGGCCCAATTTGGAGCTCCGCATGAGGTCTCAATGGCTAGGTTCGCATACTTGGTCCACGCCATTTCGGCCCACCCCTCGCACGTTTCGTGGCCCCATAGGGAACTCCACGCAAGGCCCCAGTGGCTAGATTCGCATACCTGGTCCGCACCATTTCGTCGCACCCCTCACGCGCTTCGTTGCCCCATAGGGAGCTCTAGCAAAGCCCCAGCGGCTTGGTTCGCATACCTGGTCCACACCTTTTCGGCGCACTCCTCACACGCTTCGTGACCCCATATGGAGCTCCACCTGGGGCCCCAATGGCTGGAATCGCATGCTTGGTCCACGCTATTCCGGCGCACCACTCACACGCTTCGTGGCCCAATTTGAAGCCCCACTTGAGACCCCAGTGGCTGCGTCCGCATGCCTTCTCCGCACCTTCCGTTTCGGCACGCATCTCACACGCTTCGTGGCCCCATACGGAGCTCCACTTAAGGCCCCAGCGGAAAGACGCGCGCCGACAGACTCGCAGATAAGCCATAACGGATCACACCTTGTAACGGGTTCCATCCAGATGTAACCCGTTACGGACGACCTCTGCGATCCCGTTCCGTCCTTACCACGCGCGCCTTAGTCATTTTGCTAGCCCCTTCGCTTAGTATTCCACCTGTCTTGCGGTACTCGCGGCTGCATATGGCTTGGTCCTTCGCCAGGCCAGTTCTCGAAAGCGAGTGTGGGCTTTTGATTGGCAGAAGTATCTTCATGTCGCATCTGCTGCGCATGGCTCATCCTGCGCGTCGCTCCGCGCCTGCTGGCTGCTGCTCCCTTCCCCGGCCAGCTGGGGAATATAACGCACCCCACTGGGGAACAGCGCACCCAACCAGGGGAGTGCATGACTCGGGCCGGACGAAAGGAAGGGATTGGAAAAGTGGGGTTTACGAAATGTGCTGCATGCAGTTGGTTTCGGCCCCACAGAGGGGCCCATCCCTCGATATATAACCGCCTCCGGCGCCGGGAAAATCAGCTACGTGAGTTGATTCTCAAACCCCGCCTCCCCCTAGCGAAAGGGCCGCTGCATCAGGCACGCCCGACGGCGCGGCGGGGGCGGCGGCGCCGAGCGGGCCGCCAGAGCACCGCGCCGCGGACGGCGACCGACCCAGCAAGAGGCGCAAGGAACGCGCGGGCGCTTGCCAGCGACGACGACGGTGGCGGCAGCGACGACTGACGACGGCGGCGGCTTCGGCGACGGACGACGACCGACCACGACGCCGACGCCCGAAGGACGACCGACGACTGGCGACAGTCCAGGCCTATGCTATGCTCTATGCTCGACGACGGCGGCAGCGGTGGCGCCGTAGACACGCTGACGGCGATGCATGTGGCGGCGGTGTAGGTTTCGGTGTTGTGGGAACGCGTGGCTCGTGCATTCCTACAACTCGCTGCGCCGTTTTCGATTGATACGTTCGCATGTTGGAGATGTAGGAAAGTGTGGTTCGTGATTTCCTACACTTTAGTTCCCAACACCACCATTAAGCAACATCGCCGTTAGCGCGGCCCTGGTGGCGGTGAAATCTGCATTGCGGCGACGGACGACGACAACCGAGGGCGACAGACGACAACCGCCAACGCACGACCGACATCCAGCGACAGACGACATTCGACCGTCGCTCGGCGGCGTCGACGACACACGGCGATGGCGACGACGACGACGGCGGATGATGACGGAGGACGCCCGCCAGCGGCGTTTTTTGAGCCTCGATGCGCAGGAGTGTTACATGTAGGCGGTCTTGACTGTTTGACTTCAAGAGACTTGGTCTTTATTTTAGCCTTTTTCCCGAACCCTTTGCAGACCACGAGCGACAACGACTTTATCAAGCTGGATGTTCGCAGGATGGCGCAAGAGGGGCTCCCTAGGGGCCAGCAGGGCACCACGAGCTTTCGAAAGTCCCAGAACAGCACAGTAGAACATCCCCAAGAGGGCGCAACGAAAATGAACAACTTCGGGCTTCAAGGATTGGGGCACCAATTGTGGCTCCGCCCTTCGATTGTTCACGTAAGAGTTGCCCCGCGAGGGCCCCGACGGATTTCGCTTAAGAATCAATGGAGTCCGAAGAAGCCATCAGGACAGGCCTCGGCAAGAAATAGCGAACACTCATGCCACATTCATCGGTCAACGCCTCCCCCTCCCCCCAACGTCCAAAGTTGACGGTGGGTCTGATGAGTTGCACTTCGACCGCAGTCTCCTCCGCGAGTGCCAACTTTGACTTTGGGGGAGAGGGGGAGTGTCCACTAATTACTTCCTTCTACTGGAAGTTTGGACTTGCCTTGTGGACAGTTAGCTGACTGAACTGGTCGCATTCGTGGGCAAGAACGGTTTCATTTCCAGCGGCCAGCGGAGCAGCCCATGGCGCAACGGATCGCAGGTGGTTTTAGGTCTCGGCGGCGGAGGGCGTACAATTTATGTTGCAGCCCGTCGCAGACTGTCTGTTTGACGTTTCGGCGGCCGAGAAGGCAACCAATGGCGCAACCAATAGCATCCGGTTTCACCAATTGCAGACCAATTGCAGCGCCGGCGACCCACAGCGAAATCAGTGCCGCAGCCCAATGCATAGCACAGCCCACCATCTCTGACTTGTGGGACACACGATTGTGTAATGTATGGCGAAACCTCATGCGCAACCTCCGACGCAACGTATGGCGCAACCCGTGGGGCTGCCCATGGCGCAACCTCTGGTGCATGGTGGAAGCATTCAAGCTCGGGTGAAGAGGGAGGACGGGGAAGTGAGGGACGACCCACGGCGCAACTTCTGACACAACTCATGACGCAGCCTATGGTGGAACCAATGGCGCAGCTGGCGCCCCTCTTACGTAACTGATGGTGCAACTGAAGTTGTAATCTCTGGCGCAAGCTGTTGTTGCGCAGTCTACGGTGCAGCGTACAGAGTTCGGGGGAGGAGGGAGTTTGGGAAAGAGACGACGGGGGCGCAGCCTCCATGCTTGATCTTCCACCAGGGTTGCCTCACCATCACCGAGATGCCCCTGGGCCGCATTATATACTCGTTTGAGCCACTTCCGTTGCCTCGGAGGCATGGTGGGCTCCATCTTGAGCCAAGTTTGGCCTTCTTGCGCCGTCCTGGGACACCCCAAGCCGTGGCGCCCCCCGTCCCTCCAGACATCCGAGGAGGGAGGGGCATCTCGTGCCTCACGTCCGCACTTCATCTTTCTCTGATCTGGCTTCTGGCGGAGCCTTGGCACGGGGTCGTGACGCTCCGTGGCAGCGCTGTGATGGGTCAGCTGGAAGACACGAGACATAATTCAGACCTCGTTGAACCTCACGACCCCCGTTCTGGCCCCGCTTCGGGCGCTGGGAGCGCTGGCCGTGTGTGTTTCGTGATATCGTGGTTTGTTAGCGGCGTCGGGTGTCCCGGTCCTCCTCATGCTCCTCCTCCTCCTTTTTCCTGTCAGTGTCGGTGCCTGGGAGATGTGCGGCCTCCGACTTCGTATGTGTGTTGTTCGCCACTTCCAGTTGTGCTGTCTGCGCGCAGCTCAGTTGCTGTGGATGCGTCCTCCTCTTCCTCCCCGCTTGCTGAGCCCCTTCTTTGGGGTCTCTTTGAGGTTTCGAGGGCGGCCTTTCTGGGAGCCTTTTCGGGACTCTGGGGCCATCTTGGCGGCAGGCTGGGGGTCCTGGAGGCCGGTTTGTGGGGGAGGGCCCCAAAGAGGTCCCCCTCTCGGACTCCTACTACGGCGCTCTTGAGGGTCTTTGTGGTCGTCTTGGGGGCCTCTTGGGCAGTCTTGAGGCCCTCCTGGGTCGTCTCTGGGGCCCTCTTGGGGCCGGCCCTCTTGAGCCTTCTCGGGCGAGTCTGGGGGGGCCCTCGGGCCGTCTTCGACGGTGAGAAGCCCGAAAAGGCGAGCAAGCGAAAATCATCCAAACACACGCGAAGTCAATGATTTTGGCTTCTCGAGGTCCTCATGCCTTGGATTGCGAAGGCCTTACGGCTGGTGCCGCCGACCCTGAAGGGGGACGTCGACGACGACGGCGGCGGCGGTGGCGGCGGCGACGACGACGACGACGCTGACGTGGGCCCGAGTCATCAGGGATGCTTCTTGGGGTCTCTTGGGAAGGCTCTCGGGGGCCTCAGGGGAGAAATTGTTGGGTCTCTTGGGAGCCTCTTGGGAGCCTCTTGGGGGCTTTTTCGGGTGTCCTGGGGGCCTCTTGTGGGCCTCTTGGTGCCTCTTGGGAACCTCTTGGGGCCTTCTGGGATCTTCTCGAGGCCGAGGGCTCGAAATGGCCGTTCGGGTTCCCCGTCAGCGCTCTTGGAGCTGTCTTGGGGGCCTCTTGGGCCGTCTTGGAGGCGTGGTGGGCTGTCGTGGGGTTCTCTTGGAATGTTTTGGAGCACTCTTGGAAGCCTCTTGGGCCGTCTTGAGGCGATCTTGAGAGCCTTTTCGGCTGTTTTGGAGCGGCTGGAAGCAGAAAAGGCAAGAGCGCCCAAATCTGTCCAGAACTTTCCGAAAATCATTGATTTTTGCCTTTTGGAGCCTCTTGGAGGTCTCGTGGAGAATTCCTGGGGACTTCTTTGATCCTCCGGGACCGCGCGGGGGGTCCGGGACCGCGCGGGGACCGAGCGAGGGTGTCGGAATCGCGCGGGGAAAAAAATCATGGAAAATTCACGACCGTCGTTCTAGAGGCACTCCTGGGACTGCTCCTGGAGGCCTCTTTGAGCGTCTTGCAGGGTTCGTCTTGGGCAAATATTTTAACGATTCAGCGCCCTCGTGGACTGTCTTTGGGAGCTTTGTGGGTACTCTTTGAGGCTTTTTCCCGGAAAGGGCCTGAGCCCAGGGTTCTCTTTTAGTTGGTTTCCCCCCGGTTTTGACGGCTGTAGGGCCGGCGAATTTCTTTTGCGATAAATAACGAGGTCGCGTAGGGCCGGCGAATTAAAAATTGAGGATGTCTCAAGCGAAACGCTAGTTTTTCAGAGTTTGTTGAGGATGTCTCGAGCGAAACGCTTGTTTTGTGTGATAGATTGTCTTCTCCTGGGGACCAGAATTCAGAGGATCTCTGAAGTAAAATGCTTGTTTTCACGTGCCAAGGTCTTGAGGATGTCTCGAGCGAGACGCTTGGCTTCACGCCTCCAGGTGGCCCAGACAGATGTCTAGCATGAGGATTTGTTGAGGATGTCTCGAACCAGAGGCTTGTTTTCACGTGTCCAGGTCGCCCAGGCGGATGTCTAGCATGAGCATTTGTTGAGGATGTCTCGAGCGAGACGCTTGTTTGCACGTGTCCAGGTTGCCCAGGCGGATGTCTAGCATGAGGATGTGCTGACAACGTCTTGAGCGAAACGCGTGTTTTCACGTGTCCAGGTCGCCCAGGCACAGCACAGCCCTCGGCACGGTACATCAATATCGATACCCTTAGCATTGCAGCCTGGCATGTTGCCTGGCACGTTCCGCGGAGCGTCCCGTGGCGAGTCCCCCTGGCACGTCCCTCGGCACGTCCATTGGCACGTTCCGTAGCGCGTCCCCTTGGCACGTCCCGCGGTGCGTGCCCATGGCACGTCCCCTGGCACGTCGCCTGGCGCGTCCCTTGGGACGTTCCGCGGCGCGTCCTCCTGGCATGTTCCCTCTGTCGATTAGTTCTGGGGCAGCTACCATCTGCTCAGGCAGCTCGAGCTTACGCTCCAGATCAGTTCGGTGAGGACTCGGATGCCAGGGAGGACTCGATCCACAACGCTATATAGAGCACAATCGCGGCATGGCACATCGCAGTTCAGCACGGCGTAGCACAGCACAGCCGTCGGCACGGTACATCAAGATCGATACACTCAACTATGCACCTTGGCACGTTCCTTGGCGCGTTCCGTGGCGAGTCTACCTGGCACGTCGCGCGGCGCGTCCCCTGGCACGTCCCTCGGCACGTCCATTGGCACGTTCCGTAGCGCGTCCCCTTGGCACGTCCCGCGGTGCGTGCCCATGGCACGTCCCCTGGCACGTCGCCTGGCGCGTCCCTTGGGACGTTCCGCGGCGCGTCCTCCTGGCATGTTCCCTCTGTCGATTAGTTCTGGGGCAGCTACCATCTGCTCAGGCAGCTCGAGCTTACGCTCCAGATCAGTTCGGTGAGGACTCGGATGCCAGGGAGGACTCGATCCACAACGCTATATAGAGCACAATCGCGGCATGGCACATCGCAGTTCAGCACGGCGTAGCACAGCACAGCCCTCGGCACAGTACATCATCATCGATACATTCAGCATTGCATGTGCCCGTCGCCCAATCAGGTGTCTTTGAAATGTTGCAATGCATTACATTTCTATATTCCTTTCCGGGTTCGTGGGTCGATCATGTTTGCGGCCCGGGAGCCCCCGGGGCGGAAGCGTATTTGACCCGGCCCCCCCCGGGTCCGGACCCAGGACCCCCCCCCCTCCCGGCGGGAGAGGGATCAAAGGGAAGGGGCTTCTCTTCGAATGTATGACGACGTTGCTCAATTTCGCTTAAGCTGACGCGCTTGAGGAGGAGAGCCCATGAAAGGAGAGAGGAGCGGCGACGGGCACAGGGGTCATCTCGGCACCGTGTTGGAGCCATCTTGTGAGCCTCTGGGGCCGTTTTGGAGGCGTCTTGGGCCGTCTTGGGACTCTCTTGGGCCGTTTTGGGTCGCTCGTGGAGCCCTCTGGGGCTGTCTGGGGGCGACCTGGGAGGCCGCTTGGGCCGTCTTGGAGCGTCGGGAAGCGGGAGAAGTGAGGACGCCGAAATTATTCAAAAACCTAAGGAACATCTGCGATTTTTGTTCTCGAGGCACTCTTGGGACTGCCCCGGGAGGCCTGTTTGAGCGTCTTGCATGATTATTGGGCCGTCTGGAGGCCGTCCAGGCGTCTTGGACAGATCGTCTGGCGATTCAGCGCCCTGGTGGACTATCTTTGAGACCTTTTGGGGCACTCTTGGCCAGTCTTGGGCATTTTTGCGGTCCGGGAGTCCCGGGAGGGGAAGCGCATCTGACCAGGGACCCCCCCCTTCCCGGCGGGGGAGGGATCAAAGGAAAGGGGCCTTCTTTCGAGTCTATGACGACGTTACTCAATTCGCTTTGGCTGACGCGCACGAGGAGGAGAGCCCAGGAAAGGAGAGAGGAGCGGCGACTGGCACAGGGAACGGAAAGCGCAAGGAGAGAGGACGACAGAGACGACGACGAACGAACGACGGCGACGACGACTCGAACGGAGAAGTCCCTTACACACGCCGACAGTGTCGGCGGATTCTGTGAGGCCTCCTTGGCGTGCCGGAGCCCCTTTCTGAGCCGTCGTACAGGGCAGCTTGGGCATCCTGGAGGCCGTGGCGGAGGGTGGGCTTCGAGGCTCCGAGGGCCCCGGAGGTGCGTGGACGAGCTCGCCGCGCCCCCCTTCCCAGCCTCCTGTCATCCCGCGCAAGCGGGGGTCGGCGGACTTCGTGATGTCTCGCTCTTGTGGGGGGGGGGGGAGGGGGGGGCGTTCACATCAGGCACCGGCGCCGCCGACGCGGCGGCGCGTAAAATTGGGAGCGGCAGGAGGCTTGACGTCCCCGACGCGTTGTCGCAGCGCGTGCGCGGGCGACTGGGACTGGCAAGCTTCAGGTGGTCTTTCCGCCTCCGCCTTCTCCGCCTTCTCCTCCTCCTCCTCCTCCTCCTCCTCCTCCTCCTCCTCCTCCTCCAGTCCTTCCAGAGGCCAGTTTTTAGGGCGGGCCGGGCGTTTCGCCTGAGACGTCTTTACCATTTATGACCCTGATGCTTTAAAGTTGGCACGGTTACACAGATGGAGGGCGGGTAGTTTTCAAAATGTTGCTCTCGCCTTAGCGCAGCGCACATTCGTTTTAAACATGTGCAAGAATTTCACGGCGCCGCGCACATTCACTTAAACAATTTGCAGCAAGAGTTTCACAATTGTTGGCGGTTCTTTTTCAACATGTGGCTCTCGCCTTGGTGCCGCGCACATTCGTTTCAACAAAATGCAAGGTCTTCACGGGTTCCCATCATCAACGTACCAGAAACAGTGTTTGGGAAGGTTTCTGGATTAGGAGAGTGCAACAGGTACGTTGATTCGCGGTGTTGAAGTCATAGGAATGGCTTTCAGGCAGGATTCTGGATCTTCAAGACGCAACAGTCGGTTGATCCGTGGCTCTGGGATTCCGGGAAGAATGTTTTGGCATGCTTCTAGGCCGTCAAACGGTTGTCTTCCAACGAGGCAGTTCCTTCAGTGGAAATGAACCCTTGTAGGGTCCTATGAAAAGGGAGCTTGGAGGGAGGGTTTATTCCAACATCGTTGATGACTCTTGGATTTACACTGGTCCTTCTCCTCCTCCTCGTCCTCCTCCTCCTCCTCCTCCTCCTCCTCCGTTCGAGGTCTACGGATCGAGCTTCGATGATTGAGTTGTTAGGCGTTTTCCCCGTCACGGGCGTCGAGGAGCTCCCTCGTCGCAGCGGCTGGATTTGCCTCTAAATCTTGACCAGAACGTACCCCAGGAGCGGTCCGATGGTCAGACCCCCTTCCTAGTGTCTCTGCAGGGTCCCACAGGTTCTCGTGCCCCTCAAGTGGTTTACGAACGCATGGTCCGCTATCTTCCCATCTTTTCGGCCGCAACCCTTCATCGGACCTTTGGTTCTGCTTTGCTCTGCTCACCTGTTCCTCTTTCCCCATCCTCATGCTGGCTCCCCTGGCCACGCTGCCCCGTCCTGCTCCTCCATTCTGCGGTTGATGCCCTTCCTCCTCTTTCCCCTCCATCTCCCCCTCCTCCCCCTCCTACTCCTCCTCCTCCTCCTCCTCCTTCTCCTCCTCCTCCTCCATCTCCCCCTCCTCCCCCTCCTCCCCCTCCCTCCTCCTCTCCTCCTCCTCCTCCTCCTGCTCCTCCTCCTCTCCTCCTCCTCCTCCTCCTCTCCTCCTCCTCCTCCTCCTCCCCCTCCATCTCCCCCTCCTCCTCCTCCTCCTCCTCCTCCTCCTCCCCTTCCTCCTCCTCCTCCTCCTCCTCCTCGCCCTCCCCCTCTTCCAGCTGAGGTGGCGCGCCAGGGCGGCGGGGCCGCCCCCAGGGCTGCGACGGCGCCCTGGCCGCGGGATCGGGCGCCTGGGATGCGACACGTTCGACGCCCGCCTCCAGTGCCTCGTTCGGAACTGGTGTCGGGACGACTGAAATTCGGAGGCTCCCAGACGGTGTGGTGACCACACCGTGTGGTGAGTCGAAGGGATTCGGGGTCACCGCACGGTTTTGGGACTCGGGCCGTTCTCCGAGGATGTCTCGGGCGACTGGAGCCTCCAGGGTCTCAAAACCGTGCGCTGACGGACCGTGCGGTGAGGTCTTGGGGGATTTCGAGGTCACCGCACCGACTGTCACCGCACCGCTTCGGGACTCCAAAGAAATGTTCAGGAAGACAGTTATCGGTTTGGGAGGACCGCGCGGGTCTGGGAGAAATGAGGATCTCCTCACCCGTAGGGGGCCGAAGGTATCGTCCATGGCATCCAGATGGTATTGCTCATGCCCTTCATCTTCCCAGCCCCTTCCTCCCCACATGATAATTGTTCTCCTCGAGTGGGTACAGAAAGCATGGGTACAAAGTCCAACTGCAGTTCTCGTTCATTCTGAACAGGGTTCGCTGTCGGCGTCGACGCGGACGCTGTTCATGTGAGACAGAAGGCCGCCTGCCTCACAGCGGCCGCTGTTGGTTCTGGACAACATGTGTTATGGGCTGTGTACCCATACTTTATCCATTTCGCTGGACCAAATGGTGTCGTTGTTCGCGGCGAGCCCGGGGGGGGGTGAGAAGGGGTGGGCCTTCTCAGAAGGCTCGGAAGACGCAAAACATGTCTCAGAAAGCCAGAGTGGGCTGCTGATGAGCCCCCTCGCAATCTGAGAAGGGCTCATCCTTCTCACTTCCCCCCTCGCAAGCCGCCAAGTGTTCTATGCTCGCGCACGTTCAGATGCGAGTTTGCGGTGCACTTGACGACTCAGCGCCTTGTGATGAACCATGAGTGGGTTCACGAATTTCCTCCCATCTTCGTTCGTCTTCGGTTGTCTGCTCCGCAGCGTGTGTGCTCGCACAGTTATGCACCACATGCCCCAGGAGAAAGTCTGCTCGAAAGATACTGAATGTGGTTTCAGAGTCCGAAACATCGTGAGAGGGGGAGGGAGGGAGGGAGGGAGGGGCGGCGACTGGAGGCTGGAGGCAGGAGGGCAGGGGCAGGAGGGAGCAGGGAGCACGAGGGCCGACGGCGAAAGATCCAGAATCCGCCATCCGAGCAAGGAGACGCGCAGTGAGAAGTCAAGGGGCCGATCGACTACGCTGCTTTGGCTTGGCAGAGAAATGTCCGTGGTACGGAGTCATGGAAGATCCAGGACCTTCCCCGGGCCATCGGTTTCCGGCCCTGGAGTTGGTCCGGCAGAGGGGGAAACAATCAGTGGGCACTCCCCTCCCCCCAGACTCAAGAGTTGACACGCGCGGAGGAGGCTGCGGTCGAGGTGCAAGTCATCAAACCCACTGCCAATTCTGAACATTGGGGGAAGGGGGAGGCGTTGACCGATGAATGTGGCAGGAGTGTTCGCTATTCCTGTCCGAGGCCTGTCTCACGCGTCGCGCGCTCGCGTGGAGGTCCAGTCTCTGCCAAGGTTTCGACGTGCGCCCTCCCTCCTCCGCCATCCTCCCCGAGGCTTCCCTCCTCCCTCCTTCCGTGTCTCCCCCCTTTCCCCTCCTCCTTCTTTTCCTGCTCATCGTCCCTCCCTCCTGCCGCTCCCCTCCCCCCCCTCCCTCGTCCCTCCCCCCTCCTCCTCCCAGCTGCCCCGAGGCCAGAATCCCTCGCTGCTCGGCTCGTGTCTTCCCGTCGAGCACTCTCGGCTCTGCGTGCGGAGCCCGAGCTCGGCATGGCACGCCGCGGTCTCGGAGGGAGGGATTCCTGCTCGTGCCCCGAGGCGCCGTCTGGGGGAGAGGGGGAGTGTCCACCCAGACTTTAAGTCGGGCGCGTCCCCCTACAGGGGGATTTTGGGCGAAAATGAAAAATGGTCAAAACAGATTCCCACAATTGCCAAAAATGGTGAACAAAGACTCCAAAAAGTAGTCAAAAAGTCGAACCGACGGCTGTGGGGCCAGCGAAATCAATTGCGATCAATAAAGAGGTCGACTAGGGCCGGCGGAATTATTCCCGGAAAGGGCGGGGGCCCAGGGTTCTCTTTTAGTATGGTAACCCCCGGTTTCGGCGGCTTTAGGGCCGGCGTAATTGTTTTGCGAGAAATACCGAGGTCGCCTAGGGCTGGCAGAATTATTTTTCCTGGAAAGGGCGTGGGCCCAGGGTTTTCTCTTCGTCGTTTACCCCCGGAATCGACGGCTGTAGGCCGGTGGAATTGTTTTGAGATGAATAACGAGGTCGCCTAGGGCCAGCGCAAATATTCCCGGAAAGGGCGTAGGCCCAGGGTTCTCTTTTAGTAGGTGTACCCCCAGTTTTGACGGCCGTAGGGCCGGCGAATTTCTTTTGCGATAAATAACGAGGTCGCGTAGGGCCAGCGAATTAAAACTTGAGGATGTCTCGAGCGAAACGCTTGTTTGTTTCAGAAGTGGTTGAGGATGTCTCGAGCGAAACGCTTGTATTGTGTTATAGATTGTCCTCTCCTGGGGACCTGAATTCTGAGGATCTCTCAAGTGGATTGCTTGTTTTCACGTGCCCAGGTCTTGAGGATGTCTCGAGCGAGACGCTTGGTTTCACGCCTCCAGGTGGCCCAGACAGATGTCTAGCATGAGGATTTGTTGAGGATGTCTCGAACCAGAGGCTTGTTTTCACGTGTCCAGGTCGCCCAGGCGGATGTCTAGCATGAGCATTTGTTGAGGATGTCTCGAGCGAGACGCTTGTTTGCACGTGTCCAGGTTGCCCAGGCGGATGTCTAGCATGAGGATGTGCTGACAACGTCTTGAGCGAAACGCGTGTTTTCACGTGTCCAGGTCGCCCAGGCACAGCACAGCCCTCGGCACGGTACATCAATATCGATACCCTTAGCATTGCAGCCTGGCATGTTGCCTGGCACGTTCCGCGGAGCGTCCCGTGGCGAGTCCCCCTGGCACGTCGCGCGGTGCACGTCCATTGGCACGTTCCGTAGCGCGTCCCCTTGGCACGTCCCGCGGTGCGTGCCCATGGCACGTCCCCTGGCACGTCGCCTGGCGCGTCCCTTGGGACGTTCCGCGGCGCGTCCTCTTGGCATGTTCCCTCTGTCGATTAGTTCTGGGGCAGCTACCATCTGCTCAGGCAGCTCGAGCTTACGATCCAGATCAGTTCGGTGAGGACTCGGATGCCAGGGAGGACTCGACCCACAACGCTATATAGAGCACAATCGCGGCATGGCACATCGCAGTTCAGCACGGCCCAGCACAGCACAGCCGTCGGCACGGTACATCAAGATCGATACACTCAACATTGCAACCTGGCACGTTCCTTGGCGCGTTCCGTGGCGAGTCCACCTGGCACGTCGCGCGGCGCGTCCCCTGGCACGTCCCTCGGCACGTCCATTGGCACGTTCCGTAGCGCGTCCCCTTGGCACGTCCCGCGGTGCGTCCCCATGGCACGTCCCCTGGCACGTCGCCTGGCGTGTCCCTTGGGACGTTCCGCGGCGCGTCCTCCTGGCATGTTCCCTCTGTCGATTAGTTCTGGGGCAGCTACCATCTGCTCAGGCAGCTCGAGCTTACGATCCAGATCAGTTCGGTGAGGACTCGGATGCCAGGGAGGACTCGATCCACAACGCTATATAGAGCACAATCGCGGCATGGCACATCGCAGTTCAGCACGGCGTAGCACAGCACAGCCCTCGGCACAGTACATCAGCATCGATACATTCAGCATTGTATGTGCCCGTCGCCCAATCAGGTGTCTTTGAAATGTTGCAATGCCTTGCATTTCTATATTTCTTCCCGGGTTCGTGGGTCGATCATGTTTTTGAGGATGCCTCGAGCGAAACGCTTGTGTTTCAGAATTTGTTGAGGATGTCTCGAGCGAAACGTTTCCTCTGTGTTATAGGTAGTCCTCTCCTGGGGGCCAGAATTCAAAGGATCTCTCAAGTGAAATGCTTGTTGTCACGTGCCCAGGTCTTGAGGGTGTCTCGAGCGAGATGCTTGGTTTCACGCCTCCAGGTTGCCCAGGCAGAGGTCTAGCGCCAGGATTTGTTGAGGATGGCTCGAGCGAGACGCTCGGTTTCACGCGTCCTCGTCGCCCAGGCGGATGTCTAGCATGAGGATGTGTTGAGGAAGTCTCGGTCGAGACGCTTGTTTGCACGTGTCCAGGTTGCCCAGGCGGATGCCTAGCACGAGGATGTTTTGAGAATGTCTCGGTATATACGCATGTTTTCACGTGTCCAGGTCGCCCAGGCGGATGTCTAACATGAAGATGTGTTGAGGAGGTCTCGAGCGAGACGGTTGCTTTCACATGTACGGGTCGCCCAGGCGGATGTCTAGAATGAGGAGGTGTTGAAAACGTCTCGAGCGAAGCGCTTGTTTTCACGTGCCCAGGTCACCCAAGCGGATGTCTCACATGAAGATGTGTTGAGGATCTCTCGAGCGAACCACTTGTTTTCACGTGCCCAGTTCGCCCAGGCGGGCATGAGAATGTGTTGAGGATGTGTTGAGCGAAACGCTTGTTTTCACGTGTCCAGGTCGCTCAGGCGGATGTCTAGCATGAGGTTTGACAGGATGTCTCGAGCGAAACGCTTGTCTCCACCACGTTCCGTAGCGCGTCCCCTTGGCACGTCCCGCGCTGCGACCCCATGGCAGGTCCCCTGGCACGTCGCTTGGCGCGTCCCTTGAGACGTTTCGCGGCGCGTCGTCCTGGCAGGTCCCGCTGTCAATTAGCTCTGGGCAGCTACTATGTGTTCAGGCAGCTCGAGCTTACGATCCAGATCAGTTCGGTCAGGACTCGGATGCCAAAGAGGACTTGATCCACAACGCTATAGAGCACAATCGCGGCATGGCACATCGCAATTCAGCACGGCACAGCACACCACAGCCTTCGGCACGGTACATCAAGATCGATACACTCAGCATTGCAATTTGGCACGTTCTTTGGCACGTTCCGTAGGGCGTCCCTTGGCGAGTCCCCCTGGCACGTCGCGTGGCGCGTCCCCTGGCACATCCCGTGGCACATCCGTTGGC